GGTCTGAATAGATCACATGAGCACCATCTGGGAAAGACTCCTCAGTTGCAATATATTGATCCATGTAAAAGAAAAGGTTTGGATCTATCGAGTTAGGGTTCATTATGTGAACCCAGCATGTTTGGGTTATTCAGTAAACTGGCTGAACAAATCATAGTTTTGCACACACTGTGGGAACTTGATTACTATCTGGCATGAATTGGTCACTAGCCATATTGATTGAACAGTGTATGAAATTCATTTCACATTCCTTCTGGTGCACAATTACTAATGTTCATGTGTACTTATCCACCAATTCACATTAGCCCCAATCTGTTATAATACATTACATCATATGATTTTTTTAAAAATCTAGACATAAGTTGGGAATACAACTGTTGTTTTTTTGTTTTCATAGTGTCCTACACTATGAGACTGCTTTGCTATCAAATAAATAAGCAACCAGTTTATACTAAATATTCAAAAACAAATTAGCAAGAGGCAAGTAGAAACTCTGTTTTACCCCGAATGAGGAAATGTCTGTGTTAACTGTCGTACAAATGTAAATTTTTATTCCATTTGAGTAATTCTTTGGTATTTTAATGAAGTCCTATTCTCTAGGACTTTATATGGCTTACTGTCAGATAATTTGAACACCAAGAAAAACGGTCTTGTATATATTAGAATATATTTGCAAATTAATTGGTTAATTAGATTTTAGACGTCTCTTGGGGCCAGGAAAGAAACAGATGTTTGTGCAAACCATTCCAATAATTGTGGGAGGCGGCTTTTTTTGCTTGTTTTTTTAAAAACCAGCCACGTGTGGATGCATAACATTCTGAAAACAAAAATCTTGTTCTTAACTCTGGGAGAAAATTAGAAACAGTGTCACTGTGGCATATTAATTTGTTTTTTCTTTTGTTGATTTTTTTCCCTCTCAAATTTTATTAATTATTTTAGAAGATAACAAAGTATAAACAGAGTACCAGAATATGCAACAATAACAAAATGTAAACTAAACAATCCAAGACATCAAAATAATAAATGAATGAAATACAAATGTTTTTTTAGTTTTACTTTTATTTCATATTCTTACTTCTTGGATTGTGTACTTTTCAATGTGGCCTTTTTTATTTAGTACTTGTACTGAACTGAGACCAGACCACTACCCATGAAGCAAGTATTGCCCAAACTAAGTCTTGAAATTTTCCCATCTGTATTTGAGAGATTTCTGACCCTGAACGTGGGATCATTTATATTGAAAGCATATCTTCACTACTGAACCAAGTTCTCCATAGGATGGAGATGATGCCCTTGGACAGTTTGGAAGTGGTTTAAAATGAGTGATGTGTCACTTCCTTGACTATAGTTGAAGATTGTTCAAGAAATCGATTATGGAATGAGTTATGGAATGATTATGGATTTCAAGAAATCGATATGGAATCGATTGCTGTTCTGGGATTCTCAGGTTTTAGCAGGGGAAGGTAATACAGATATTAAGCAGCTGATCAGACCCCCCTCGCCCCCCATATTAAAACAGAATGTGTCCTTTAGTGGAGGATCCTTGCAGAATCCATTCTGATTCTTTGGAACGCCCAGTGTAAATCCAGGAATCAGACTGGGTGGGCTATGAGTTTTCACCATTATTTCTGAGATTGTGTCAGTATGAGTAATTGGGTGTGCTTGACCTAGGGAGGGAAAATTAATACTCTAAAGATTCCATATTAAATGTATGAACCTTTAAAGGTCTGTGTGTGTATCGTATTAATTATTGCATTGTGTTGTTGTTTTAGTTTTTTGCTAAGCTGCTGTATGCATGACCTACAGGCATTAAAAGAACAGCTCATAAAATTCTGTGTGAAGATATTAATTGATATCATTATTAGAACTAGAAACATGTGTTTTATGTATTTGGTTAGTTTGGCCTAATTACAAACTAAAACAACCAGGCTTTAAGCTGACATTAATAGGATTCTTAATATGACTCAGGATCAATAGCTCTGTATTAAAGATCCATGTGTTCTTCTTGGCTGTGTCCCCAGTATTTGGAGTATATCAAGATATAGGAAGAATTATTATAGAACTTAGAAAGGAGAGAGCTGCACTGGATTTGCATCAATGGATTGTTGATAATGTGTTGTTTGTCAACATTTGCATTAGGTCTGAGGTCCTTTCCCCGCCTTTCTTTTTTTTTATTAGTGCTGTGATTTTAATTAATTTAGACTGATAAATTTATACTTCTAAAAAAGCCTTAAAGTTCCACCCTTCTCTTTGGTATCATCTGAGAAGCTTAGCCTACAGTTTCCGTAGACTTGTCTTGCAGCAACTCAGAGTTTAGTCCACTTAGGAGTTGCCCAGGGGTAAATTATATGCTTTCTGCTGAACTGAGGAAACTGATCTCTTTGGTGGCTTTATAAAAAGCCATACAGTGCATTGTTTTAGGTGAATAAAGTTTTCTTTAAGTGGAGTCCCATAGCAGCATCATAGAAATTGCTTGCCTTGTTGTCTTCTGGGATTTGTTGTTGTCTTTTTAATTTTTTTTTTTAATTTTTTACTTTCCAGTCTATCTTACAGCTTTGGAATTCCCCGGCATATTTCCTGAAATAATAGTCCTAACCCTGATTAGTTTTCCAGCCCAGACTGCATTATCCAGAAGCTGTTGCTGGAGATTTTGAGTCATTTTAAGTCATTCTGGGTTTTATGATTTTATGTCAGTGATGCTGGATCAGATTAATGGTCCATCCCGGCTAAAATCTTTGTTCTTGCATTGGCCACCAGAGGACAGTGTGAAGAGGCCCACAACCAAAAGATGAAGCCAGGAACTTGTTTGTTGGTGTTCCCCAGCAATAAATATGCATTTGCCTAAGGTGCTGGTGGCATTGAATTGTATGGATTTCAATTATGGTCAAGGACCAGCTGTCAGTTATCCATTACCATAATCAAAAAGATGGACTGAAAAAGTGGTGATGGTGGCAGTGACAGGGGAAATAACATTTTCAAACAGACTAAGCTAAATAATATTTAACACAGGCTTTAAAAAAAATTCATGTACCCAATATACCTATGACAAAAAAACTCCACAACAGCAATAGCTATTGAACAGAATTAGCAACTCTTCTAGAGATTGCTTTACAGATCTGCTAGGAAGTAGATGTCCTTGTGCAAGGCGACTAGGGTCATTATTAAAACCATGTGCCAACCTATTTAGAATTGGCAGCAGAGGTACACATGCAGAATTGTCTAAATTTCCCCCATCAGGCATAGGCATATATATTATCTCATTAGGATGTTATTATATCTTCCATTAACATTAATGGTAAAACATTAAAACTCTCTAAACAAAAGTATTTCTGGTGAAGCATACACAAAATAATAACTAGGTGGACTGAAAGGTCTTCCAGATAAAGTCTATAGTATTTTAGTACTTTAGTACATTGTATAGTATAGTACAATGTACTTTAGTATAATGCTATGATGCAGTATGCTAGACCAGATGGATTGTTCAGTCTGATCTTGTTAAAGCTTTGTGTCAGGCACAGATTTAACCACCCACTGCCTTTCCACTCTACATTCCCAAGCAATCCAAAGAAGGTTAAACACAAAGCTAGTAATCATATCATTAGTAAACATGTCAAGAAATTATGCATACAGTGTCACACAGGAAACCTGTCCTATAGAGAAAGAGAGCAGGAACTATTTGAAATGCAGTGTAAATAAATGTATATATGTATGCCAGTCTCAAGGTTCAAATCCTTGGCCTCTTCCTCCTGCCTTTTCAAGTTAACAGACATTTGGCTGCTCTTTTCTTTGTCTTGAAGCTCTTTGCCACTTGTCCAGCTCTGTCTGGTGTGAGAATCCAGAGCTCTTGCATCACCACCTTCAACCCTTACATAGCTGGACTTATGGCTCTCTTTATGCTCTCCTGAGAAAGGGCAACAAGGGGTTGTGGGAGGGCCATGACTAATCTGCCTTTTTAGTTCCACACAGATCATAATTTTTCATGCAATCCTTATGAAAATAATAAGAGCAGAGGTCAATCAATGGACATGTTGTGCTTATTTGACCACATCCTTTCTTTGAAACACAGGAGCACTGTAATGTGAAAGCAAAATAATCTTAACTGAAATCTTCTCTCTAAACCATTACGTGCTGCCACTAACTATCATATAGTCAGATAATATATAATCTAATTTGGGGGGAAATGAGGGAGTAGTTTTTTCTCCTGCTTCTTCAAGTTGGACAGATATGTTCAGTATCCAGCAAATATTAGAGCAAAGAGATTGGATATCCACTTGCCTGAAACCAAGGATTTGCATATTCATTAGTGACTTCCAACACCTTCAAAGAAAAACATCACTTGATTAATATCAGCTTAGGAATTGGCGGGATTTAGATTTCAAGAACAAAAACTATGTTCAAAGATGGGAAGAAATGATTTTCAATTTAAATGCATTGTAAGAGCTAATTGCCTTTCTCTTGCTTAAATTAACTTTATTCCTGCGCTTGTTCTCATAGTAATAAGGAATTAATGAAACCAGGCTATGGAATAGGCCTAAGTAGGTGCCTGTGGCTTAATAGAAGCTGAGACTTTATAATTATTGCTTAGCTCTTATTTCTGATTTTGGACCAACTGATGGGCATCAGACATAACCATTGATTCTGGCTGCACTTTGGCAGAATGCAGAAACACCTCAAATCAGAACATGGCATGTAGGCTAATTGATGGTGTCCTTCCTGTTTTCCCTTTTAGCATTTTGTGCTAGCCGTGGCAGAGGAGAGTTACTCTACATGAACTTTAGCTTGTCATTTTCCTTTGTGGGTCATATACAGTAACAGAGACCTCAGTTCAAAGACAAACTGACTTAGCTACACATTTACCTTTTTCTTTTGTACCCACCTAACCTTTGAGTTGTATGTTGAGGAAGTCAGTTCTCTTTCAGTGAAGGCTCAAAGGCCAGTGAGAATCTGGGATGGGCCTTGAGAAATGTTTGTGTTACTATCCGTTCTCTTCCTTCTTCCATCTCCCAGACTCCTTGCAAGAACGTGGTGAGTTCTGTAAAAACCTGATTCTGGGCCTCTTGTAGGTCACAAAACTGCCCACATTGTGACATTTTGGCCTGCTTTTTTAATAGCCTACACTGCCCCCATGTGGCTATTTTCCTGAAATCTGTTATTTCTGGAAAACAATGTGTGGGAGTTTTCCTGGGCAAAAGTTTTTGGGGGAATGCAACTTTGGCAGCTGGACACTCCCATTTCCCAATTAGAACAATGTCATATAAAATAAAATGCAATAATACCATATTTAGCATGTGAAAAGTTCACATTCTTCAGACTTTCTTGTAAACCTTATGATAGCCCTGTAAGATTAGTCAGAATTATCACCACAGTGTTGCTAATGAGGTTTTCCAAGTTGAGAAAAAGCAGCTTGTCTTAAGCCATACAACTCCTACATAATGTTGTTTTGGGACTACAACTCCCAACATTTCCAGCATGCTAAAATATAGACTCAACCCATCCAAAAAGCACCAGGTTGGGGATGGTGGCTTTAGATTATTTGCAATATGGTCATCCTGACTCACAGCAAACCCATTAGCTACTGTCTGCAGTGGGTGTATTGACTAATGATGTCACAAAAGGACCAAGTACTGAATATTCAGCAAATCCATTTTTTTTTAAGAAACGTTGGATATGCATATTAATTCTGCAGAAGAGGCCAATATATAGTAAGATTTCTTCCTTAAGGAGGAAAGTATTGCAATTGGATTCCTATTCTACTTCACATTTTACAGACCTAGTTACAGATTCCCATACCGGTTGTACGAAACTCTTGTTTTTAATTTTACTCATTTCTCTCTCTTTTTTTTAGTTTTTTTTTAAAAAAAACTATTTTTTTTTGCCGTGTTTTGTGTCATTTTGCAAAACAAAACTAAAGAACTACAGAAAATTATCTCATTAAGCTTGTTTGCAAGAAGGATACAGACTCTTTCAGCTAAGCAGCTGATTTCCAGAACAAATCATGGATGGGAAGAGAAAAGGCTAAATTGTTCCTTTCATCGCAAACACCCTAAAAGCAATCATAAGCACCTCATCCCAGTGGTGACAAATCAAATATCATATATTTTGTTCTCTTGAATGAAATATGAGAACTAGTTTGGTGCAGTGGTTAAAGGCACTAGGGTAGAAACTGGGAGACTGTGGGTTCTGTCCTGCCTTAGGCACAAAGCCAGCTGGAAGATTTTGGGCCAATCTTTCTCAACAGTAGGAAGAAAGCAAGGATCAAACCACCTCTGAAAAATGTTGCCCAAAAAACTTCATGGACTTGTCTAGGCAGTCTCCAGGAGTGAAGAGAAGGGAAGCGCCAGCCTTCCCAGGTAGACCAGACAGAAAACACGACCAGATGAGCTAATTCTACTTTATTGTAAGGGTAGATTAACAGAATCTTGCAAGTCTGAAAGTACAGTTCTCCCACCATCTTCTTTATCCCTGAGAAATTAGGGAGGATTTCTTGCTCCACCCACTATGCAGCTGTGGGCTATGCTCCCTCTTATCAGACCGTTCCCTAGGCAGCATCTCTTCACCCTGTCTCTTAAGGTCTTTTTCACATACCATTATGGGAAGGAGAGAGAGGGGAGGGAAGGGAAGGGAAGAAGGAAAATCTACAACCCAAAAGCAGAAGGTTCACTCACCAGAGCTGTTGTATAAGTTGCCAGCAAATGGTCATGTTGAACATGATAGAAAAGAAGTACTCTTAGATACATGAGGAGCAATCATATTAACTGTGTTTGAATTAAAAAGGCATTACATGAATGGAACTTGAATTCTTTCCCAATCTCATCCCAATTTGGGGGGGGGGGGGGGCC